TCAAAATTAATACATTTATTTGCACTGAAAATTTCATTAAAAAATCTGAAACTCATTAATTCATTCTCAGTGCCTGGGGGCTTTCTTCCACAGCCCTCCCCCCCCTTCTCGCTTTGCAGCTGTGCAGGACCTTCACCTATGCCCTCCTACTGCAGCATCCACAGCCTCTCAGCTTCAAAACCATGAAGAAAGCATCAGACAAAGAAAATCTATACACTGAGCAGAGCCACACACCAGCGTCTTCATTTAAACTGCACTGACATCCCTGCTCTCAAGCTCTCAGAGGAAAACCAAGCCACATTAAGGTGCATTAATCTCACGAGGTCCTATAGAATTCATATTAATGCCACATGTCAGCCCTTCCCCCCTGTGTGTGCACAAGAGCTGTCAGATGCCAGATATTGGTTTTTATTCATTATGGAAGATAAAGAGGCAGTAGATCAGCTGACTCCAGCATGTGCATATGGATGACAAAGGTTCAAGTCCATTCCACAGTCTTTCTGTTAGTTTGTGTTTTTTTTTCTCATAACCTCATTGTTTACTGACCTGTGAAGCAGAAATGCCATAAAACTAATCCATTGATGGGCTTTAGATTTTATTTGTTGGATTTTTACCAAGCAGGCAACCACACAGGAAAATCAAAGAAAATTTGGTCGCCACATGGAGTATAGCACTGCAGAAGCTTGTAGGTAAAGTCAGGACTGTTGACTAGTAGTTTCAATTATCCAGTCTTCAGCTCTTATTATTTTCTATGATAAGCCATGTGGACAAGTTGGCTGGTAGCCTTCTAAGCTTTAATTGTGCAGAACCCAAAAAAGAAACTCACTCTGATATGACTGTACATGTCAGGCATGAAACTAAAAGCCACTTAAAGTTGATGACAGAATTTGCATTTTCTGTTTGATTATTTTCCCTGTCACCATAAACACAGGCCTATTTCTGATGTTATGTCCCTGAGATAGACACACACACACACACACACACACACACACACACACACAGTGTTGGCTGTGAGACAACAGAGAAGGTTGGAAGTGATAAAAACCAGGGAAGCCACCTCTGCTGTGTCTGATATGGACATGAGGCGCCATCTGTGGTAACAGAGCTATTTTCATTCTTCCACACCAAAACTGTTTGTTCACACTGGCTGTTACCAACAGCCTACATGTGTGCAATCCCTGGTTCCTTCTCACTTGACCCAAATTACAACAGGAAAACATATTCTCTTGCTGTACTTACTTCAGATAGTTGTGGGTTTTTGTGCTCAGATTTTAGGATAGTTGACACTGAGCTTTCTGCATTGACCTCGGGTCAGTAGAAGCAAAAAAAAACGTTGTTTGTGGAGCTCACAGTGTGACATTAAAACAACTCAGACGCAACATGACTTTTTATAAAATCCACAGATCACAGCATGTGTGCTGACAATTTTTACAGCAACTATAAAAATTGCAGTGACTTGGTAGAAATTAGTTCCAGAGAAAACTGAGGCCCATGGATTGTACAGGGTAACTGGGTCATTGCTCCTGTTATATTTTTTTGGCCATCCTAGTGGCTCTGTAGAGAAAGCAGTGCTGGTTTGTCGGTCAGCCAGGCCAACACTTTGGTCCAGACTGAAATGTCTCAGCAACTGTTGGGTGCATTGTGATGAAATGTTGTACATTCACAGTCCCCAAGATTAATCCTAATGACTATGATGAGCTTCGACTTTTCATCTGACCCCACCAGTAGGTTCCCTTTTGTAGCTTTTAATAAAACATTGCAACAACTGTTGAATCATAATTGCTGTGTTGATCCTTTGAATTTTCATCATACATCATCATCATGACCAAATACAAAAACTAATGACATTCCCATCAGGCTCAGATGTACACTGTCCCAGACCCATACTACATATACAGATTGTTCTATATACTAATTGCTATAGATTGTTGTTTTAGTGGTTAGTATACAAAAACATCAGTAGGTTATACTAATGATACTGATATATTGTTTCACACTATGCAGATGAACCATGCAGCAAAAATGTACAATGATGCTTTTACATGTCTATTCCTGCCCAAGGTCTCAAAACAACAGGACTCAGGATCATTTAGAGAGGAAGTAAATGAGAAACTTTCAGATTGGTGTGTAGCATAAACTAAACGGTCATGAATCATTTGTATGAGGAGAGAATGTCTCCTGTGCAGAGAGAGGGTGAGTATGGTATGAGGACAGATTTGGGACTCTCACCGTGGCACACAGTGAGGGCACTGAGCTGAGTCATGGTGGCTGCCCAGAAGGCATCTGCAGCAGGCTGCTCAGACTTCACCAGAGCCTGCAGCCTGTGGAGCTCACTGGCCAGGGGGATCACGCCTTACATGAAGCAGCCACGAGTTTGACTTTGTTACACGTCAACAACTCCAGGGAGGTCTGGACTACCTAGCTAAACCTTTTGCCACCATGACCCAATCTTGGATAAGCAGAAGACATTGGATGAATGGATGTCACATTTTTGTGCAATAGGCTGCTTTCATTTCTTTGTTAGCACTAAACACAAATTACAGCAGACTAAAAGTCGTTAGTTTCAGAGGTATTGCAGCTCTAGAGGAAAGGTTAGCAGGAGTCATCCTCTGGGGACTATGACTATAACTAAATGGCAGTCAGTGCAGTACTGTAGTAGTTGAGACAGTTCAGTCATGACCAAAGTAGTGCACTGTCCAGATGACTGATGGCTAATAAATACTCGTGTGGTAATTTTTACGTTTTTTCTGTCTTTTTTTTAAATCTATGCAAGTTCTTTGTTTTTTAGCCTACGCAGGTGAAGCCCAGTACACGCTATGATTGAAATCTAGTTCATCTCACTGACATATGTGATTGAGCTGTTACAACTTGGGACTCTTCCTGGGTGGGTCAACCCACTATGCATGAAGGTGAGTCTCCATATCTGGTGTTGTGTATTACTGAAACAGTCTGACATAAGCTTAACATCAATTAAAGCACTAGGGGTGGTCGTGACCTCTATATAAATGGCTGTTGCATGTTCCCTGTTGTGTTTGTGTGCTGTAAGTTGGATATTATTTGGCTGCATTGGCAGACAAAGCGATCATGTGGTCAGCAAATGAACGTTTGTGAAATGCAGCTTTCGGAACCTGATTTTGATTAAATGATTTTCTTTTTCAATCAGAAATGATTTCTTAGTGTAAAATGTTCCAAATAAACCTGCCACGCTCATTAGCAGGGGGTCACTTAATACTGATGAAAGTGCTTCAGAGCTGTTCACTATGTGGTTGTTGCATCTTCAGATAATGAGTGCCAATTTCTGAGGACTAATTGTTTCTCCTTTTTTGAGGTAGAGTATTTTGCATTGATGTTTTCTTTAACCCATTTGTTTTTGGAGAACTCTGTTTTATTTGGTATACTTTCTTGCTGTAAATCAATGCAGAGAGAATAGAAATGCAAAAAAAAAAGAAAAAATATTCTGTCCATGTATTTTCAGAGAAATTGTTACTGTTGAGTGGTCCATCCACCCCTTGTTGTTGCAAGCCTGACCGCTGCATGAGTTGGATGATTTTAATCTGCTCAGAAGTAATCCTTGTTTAAATTTGAGGGATTACTGAAGGCTCGCCAGATAAAGGAGAGCAACTTTGATTTGGCTTCTGTCTTGCAAGAGAACATATAACAGAAAGAGACATACATACAGGAAAAGAAAGGCAGGGGCAGAAGGAAAGAGGTGAGGAGGTGTGTGCATGGGGCAATATCTGCCCTTGTTTTATTTGTGGCACAGTCATGCAAAACCTGTTGGAGAGTGACAACATTTCCCTGAGAAATCACCAGGGCTCTGTGAGGCCAGGTCATCAGGATGCAGCACTCTGCACCCTGCTTGGTGACCGTCATCACACTTCCTGGTGTAAAGAGTCAGAATATCTATATCAAATTCTTGCATTGTTGCAAGTTAACTGAAAGCAAGAAGCTAAGCCTAATTATTGATGTTATCCGCTCCCCCCCCCCCATATTTGTGAAGAGTTGTTTTGTGTCTTTTTCTGTGTTCCTCTTTGTCACAGAGAGATCATTATCATTTGTGACTGGATGTCCAGAGCAGAGGAGAAGGGACAGCCACACTGTTGTTCTGACACGGCTCATAAAGGAAAGCTAGATGGAGTCCATAGTTCTTTTTCTCTTTTCTAGGGGCAAAACGAGATTACATGAACGGCTGAGTCTGGTTGTGTTCAGGTCTTTGCCTTTGTACATAATCCTCAGTAATTCTCTTTGTGATGGACGCTGTGAGTTGTCATTCATTGTCTGAAGGCTACAGGGGAGCTCTGGTATAAAAGAGAAAAAGAGAGGAGCACTGCTTCCCAATACTACAGAGCAGGGAAATGTTCTCTGTCATGGTACAGTATATATAAATGGAAAGCATACAGTGTATATGTGAATACACCTTGCAGACAGATTACTGTATATGTGTATAGATGTATAGATTTAGATTCGTGAAAAGTCATTTTGTGTCACTGTATGAAGAATTGTAGGTTACTATAGGCTTTTATTAGAGTAGTGTCTGTGTGTGTGTGTGGTGGGGGGCAATTTTATATAATTTAAAACAACCATGCTTCCATAAATAAATAGAAAACAAAAGCATTATTTCAATTTATACATACTCTTTTCCAAGCTGCCACAAGTCTGACACATGTATACAGACCTTTACATATAGAGCATTTACAGCTCTGTGAAACTAATAAGAAACTACAGGATTACCCAGGAGTTGTGTGTAGCAGTATTAGCCACATTTTGCATGGCTGACGAACACTCGAAGGCTAATTTAGCAGCTTTTCCACCGACAGAGAGGGAAAGTGGACTTATAGTTTGTCGACTAACTTGTGTAGTCTTTTTTTTGCTTTGGTTAACCTGAGGTGAATTCTTCTGATGAGTGACCCATGTGCCTCCTCACGTCTCCTTTGTGGTCGTGTACTGTGGGAGGAGCCCAAGTTAGGAGGCTTGAAGTCCAGCCCTCAGTTTGTAGTGAAGGAGGCTTGTACTTAAACGCAGGATGGAGTGCGCGCACGGACAGGCTCCTGGACTCTACTATGAACACATTTAAGTGCACTTTACGGATTTAAACGTACTTTATCGACATTGGGTTTTTTTTCTAGCCACTGTGACTAAGCTGTGACCCGAGTCTTGGATGGTAAGAGCTTTTTGTGCTTGCTCGGTGTTGGTTTTCAGGTCGAACACCTTCACAACGGGGACGGATGAGACGTAGTAAAACGGGATCTTAACGCAAGTCCAGAGCGTTTATGTTTTTATTAGTGGGATAATAATTTGCCTTGAAGCCTGGTTCAGATGTACATGTGAAATATTCCACTTATTCAGAGATGGGACCCTTGAAGCGTAAATGGGGGGGTTTTGAGACATTTCTTTGAGTGGTGGTGTTTTAAACCAGACTGTAGTAACCTAATCCTCCGTTTGCGGTCTTGCACACCTCAGAGCTGCTTTCCTGTCGTTTCACTCAGGGATGACGAAGGTTTCATTCAGATGTTGTTTGTCCCTGAGCAAAATCCTCCTATTTCATAAATCTAAATAAATCTAACAAGGCCACACTGCGGCCTTAGCAGCGATCTGCAATACATGTAAGGTGGGAGACCCATGCTTTTTGAGACTAGTCCAAAGAAACATCAAGTTAAGTTCAGTTTATTCTGCTTTATTTTCATCGGGCTTGGGGAAACTGGAAGTTTGCTGCTGCTCCTCGTTAATCATGTTAAAACCATGCGCAGTCTTTGGGAAATGATCCTGTCCAATTTAACACTTGTTTAATGACACCTCGCCAGTTTCCTGTTATTCCCTCCCATATTGCCTCCTCATATCTCTGCTTGCCTGTTGTAGAACGTGTTGACATCCCTCCTATCTCACTCTGCATTTCTGTGAGACACACACAGTCTTGTCCTGGATAAACACATCCTTTTTGTGCTGCATTTGATTTAAACAAGGAGGGTTTATAAAATGTGTTCTATTGTGAACTGATGGACCAAATGTAGAGGTTGAGAGATGATGCATGTGGGTGCCAAAGCCTAGCTGAGTGTTTTAGATGGTAGGGTAATCAGACTGTAAATGACCAGACAGAGCAGCCTGTCCTTTAGTGTGCCCCTGCTGCTCTTCTTCTTCTCTTATCAGTGTGTGATATTGTATCAGTAACACCGATTCTATCTGCTTCTCTTGCTGTAAACAAAGCTGCAGAAAGCATTTCTAAAATCCTCCTCCTCTTTTCCTTTTGAAACACACATGGATACACAGACCCCCACCCACACAATCAGACACTCAAAACAAACACAGACTCCACCCAACACTCCACCCACTGTAACAACTTGAGAGGAATGGCGAGCATGTGGAGAGGTTGTGGTAAGGAGTTGGAAGGGAAGTGGAAAGCAGAGAGTGGAGACACTCGGCTGCTTTTAACTCCAAAACATGAAATCCCATATAGTGTTCAGAGTCGAATGGAAGTGATCGGTATAAACTGCTGATAACCTTGTGTGGCTTCCCATATAGTACTGAGATGGCTGAGCTGAATCTGGACTGCACCTAGGGATGAGGCAGGGGTGCTGGGTTGCAATTGTGCCAATGAGTTCAAACATATTTTGTCATCCTTTTCAAATAAAAAGAGCAATGTCTGACAATCCCAAGTGGATTTGGTTTACTCTGAGGTTTTCCTGCAGCTAGACCATTTGTCTGTGAAGGTGCGTTGGTGTGAGGAATCTGAAGGATTCTCGTAACATTAACGCAACCTAAAGTGTGAAAAGTAACACGACTCATGCGATAAGGCTTAATGTTTCTCATTTGCATTCAGTACAACCTGACTGACTGTAGCCCCATTTGCTGCCGAGTCTACGCATATAGTACCTTTGTCTGCCAGTTGCAAAGCCATTCATATTCAGAGACTGACCTGCAGGTTGTGTAGAAAGGCTGGCCAGGCCCTGCAGGGGTTTAAGGAGTGCTCTGAATGCAGGTGAGGTCCCTTGAGGCCATGCTAATAAGCCTGAAATTCATTTCCTTAATTTGACTTTTCTGCCGTCTCCCGTTGCTTCCCACTTTGGCATTACTTTCATAAACATGTCTTTCAGAATAAAAAAAAACCCCATTAATTTATAGTTCTTCTAGAATAGCATGTACACACAGCTGGACAGTAGCAGATACATGTTTAATTCTGGTTGGAAGCAGCCTGCAAACCCAGGTTGGGCACCACATGTTGACCCATTCAGGTGTCCCTCAAGTTTGTCAGTCTCTGCAGTGACTTGGATAAGGGCTTAACTCAGGTGACTGTCTTTGGATGGAAATATGTTATGTAACGCATTCTTCTCCAGAGAGAAATGAATGTCCTCTCCTTTTCCACTGCTTGTTTTGAAAGAAATGGAGAGAAAAGATGAAGTGTAATGGAAAGCAGACCTTTCTGTGTGTCTGGAATGTATTTTTCTAGTGAATCCACTGTTAAACATATCTTATATTTCATTTGGAGCGATACAGATACGGTTAAGGTGGTTTTATTTGTCAATATTACCAAGCAGGGCCTCATGGTTTGGCTACAATAACAAAGAACATGTATTCTCACAAGAGGCAGGAGGTGAAAGTTATTTGGCACATGGGAATTAAATCAAATCTGTTTTACTGATATCTGAACAGATAAACAGCCATTTACTGAACTTGTTTGTTATCAGTATCGAATAAGAGGAAATAAGATGCTGCATCTGGTTTTAAGTTTTGTTTTACTTCATTTTATGTGATGTGTCATTACAAGCTAGATGCATGTATTGACAGGATTGTGCTTCATTACAGAAACAGGAGTGTATAAAAGTTGCAGGGGGTGGGGTGAACAAAAGAGGGATGGTATTATAATTTGGCTGAGGGGACTGTATGCAGATATTTTAAGGAGAACAGTAGAGGGTCTGGTTTTTGTAGCTTTTTTTTTTTTTTTTTTTAATCAACCACAGTTTATATTTTATTTCAGCCCTCACTTTGCAATAAAATTAATAGCTGCATCATGCATAGTTTAAAATACTACAGCTTTTGACTGGGCTGCAGCTACTGTAATGAGAGTGTGTTTTCTGCCAACTCCAAATAAGGGTCCAAAGAACATATTAATGCTGGGCAGTGAAGCATAAAGTTCAGCTATCCTCTTCACACAAATCATTTGCACACAGTCCCTTACTAACCATTTTACTTAACTGATGTAGGTGAATAAAATCATGGCGACCTCTTTCCAATATAGCAGATATTATCAGCTGAATTGTTACCAGGAGGGACCATACTGTTGACATGTTACTTCCTTTTCTGGCAGAGCCCCTACCTGAGGGTAAACAATGTGGTGCTTCAGCTGTTCCTCTTGATGTTGATATGTTTGCTGAGAGTAAACAGCCACCTGTTTTGAAGCAGCAAACATGACAAATGACTCAGACAAACTTCCGTGTTTCCACTTGGGATGAGTAACGTGAACAGTTTTGTGGTTAAGGCTCGTATGTGGTTACAGTCATCAACATTCGTACTTGAATGCACTGAAGTGATTTCAGTATGGGTCTGACAAGGCGAAGCAGGGACCAGAAACCAGATATTGTTATCTGATAGGCTTTTAAATCTTATTGTCCTGCGTGTCAACTCGTATAAAGAAATGAGTCCTCACATTGGGTTAACTGCAGGGATTAATTGTGCTCCCCCACAACTCGATGTTTAAGCCATGAGATGAATAGCCTACTATGGACAGCTGAGTCTTTGGGTTTGATGGTGTAATGAGCAGATGAACTGTGATGCTAGCACAGCATGGTCCAGACCTCACACAGGGCCCAACTGAGTGATTATATGACTGTAAATCTTCAACTCTCCTTTTGACACACCGCATCATCACCCCATCATGTGAGTGAGATGGTGTGTGCTTTGGCCATTTGTAGCTTGGATAGCAAGAGTGCCACCTTGTATCTCTGGGGTAAGAAGTCTCAATCCAAGCATGGGCGTAGCCAAGGGGACAGCTAGGGGTGGCACTGGCCACCCCCAGAATCTCATTGGCCGCCCCTGCTAGAGTCTAAATGTGGTGCTTGTCAGTATTAATGAATAATAAATGGAAAAGCAATGACAAATTGTTGCCTTAAATACAAGTAACATTTTTTCGGTGCTTCATAATTGATATTTGTGAAATTAGTTTTATTTTATTCCATGAATGCAGCTTGATATTTGCATAAATTTCTCCAACTGTGTTGTTGTGATGTACTTGGCATGATTCAGTACGGGGGGGAACCACTGTGCAGCAGCGATGTACCCCAGCCAGAACTGAATAAGGAGCGGAGCCAAAATTAACTACAGAATCCACTATATGTCTCATTTTTACATAGATTTAACAGTTAAATTCTTAATGTATTGTTTATTATTTCATAGAAATAGGAGTTTACTTTTTACATGTATTTCAAATGGGCCACCTCTCTCTGAGTCTGTGCCTCAGCCTGGCCACGCCATCCAAAATTTTCTAGATCCACCCCTGGAACAGAGTGGCAGGGAAATTAATGAAATGCTTCTTGTGCCTCACTGCTGACGTCTATAGACAGTCATTAAATTGCAGTCTGTTGAGCTGTAAAGCCCTAAGCAGGTGGAAATTTAAGTCCTCATTTTTTTAATTGTGATGTTCCCACAGAAGGTAAATTGTTTGGCTCAAATCATTAGAACTTCCTAATTGCTCAGTGCACTTCATTAGTCTAAATGGGTCATCGGGTTAAAAATGAAGAGAGGTTTTTCAAGCCACAAGCACATAAACAAAAGGAAATTTGTGTAATCTATTTTCCAGAGAGTTTGTAGACTAACAGCTGCCTCTTTAAATGAGTAAATTGATTTCCTCATAAGTGGTGTGTGCATCTCCAAAGGCTCCTATAGTTTCTGTAACAGGGCTGTGATCAAGTGTAACTTGGGGAAATTATACCTCCTATCCTACTGCGTTCTGACTGACATGCACAGCTCATTATTGACGCTTTGCAAGTTTTTCAAGAACCCATCTCCCACTGTTCGTCATCAGACTTGAATAATTTGAGGCAAAGGCAAGTTTGTATCAGAGGGAATAAGGTGACCTCAGCTCTCCTTTAAGCACTTATTTCCTCTGCCAGTTCTGTTTCTCTCACTCGTTTGAAATGATAATTGGCCCGTTCCTGCATGGCAAAGTTGAGC